AGGAAGGGACTTGGCACTAAATGGTTGCAGAGAGCCATGTCTTTTGGAAATAAATTGTCTCCTTTTAGAGAGCTGCTCTCTGCAGTCTCTGGGAAGTGACACATTGTCACTTAAGATCATTAACTATTTGACTGTGAGACTGCTGCCTCTGCAGCACGCGGCGCTGGCAGTGCCTGGCTGTTAATGAATAATAAATTAACACCATGACTCTGAGCCGTTCCTTTCATCAGCCCAGGCTTCCAGAGGCCGGAGGATCTCAAAGGATCCTCTAGAAGCGACAGTCAAGGTAATTACCTTCAACCAGCAGCTAAGTGATGGGTGAGGTGCCCAGACGGGCTCAGTGGTTGCCAGCATCCCCTGGACATCAGCTCTGCTAGCACTGGCTGCCCACGGGTTTTCTGCAATGCCCCTCAGCAACGAACCAACGTGGGCAGCCCAGAGAAAACACCCTGTGACATTGCTCTGGGGAGCAAAGCAGGTTGCAAAAGGCCTTCTCTCAGCTAGAGGTGGGTTTTCAATCCTGCTCGTGACCTTCCTCACATATTCCCTTGCAGGGAAATTGGGCATAACCCTGGAAACTGAAACAGGGATGAGCAGCTCATTGTGCCAGCAAGACCCCTTCTGTGTGGCAGAAGAGTGTCAGAACACCCCAATTACAAGTCTTGGGACTGTCTCTAATTATGTTAATGTTTAGGTTTGCCCGGGGCCTCTTGGTGCTGCCAGGCTACAAAGAGTGAGGCTGGGTGAGGCTGCAGGAATTTGACAGCAGCAGCTGGGGAGGGAGGCAGCTCCTCTCAGCCAGGCAGAGAGTGTCTGTCAGATCCCCCAAGAGCAGTAAATGGACCAGGATCCACCTCCAGCCTGGGTTTTCTTTTGGAAAGCCAGATGAAGGCAGATGCCCAAAAAGCTGCCCGTTGCATTGGATATTTTTGAAGATCAGAACACCATTCTCCCTGTCCCCTGCAATTTGCCCATTAATTCCCACACCCCAGGGTTGTTGCAGTGGTATAATCATGGAACATGTTAGGTAAAGCCAGAATGAGACTAAATGACAACATAAATGCTGGGTCTTTTTTTTTATTATCAGAGGTTTCAGGGTTGATAAGAGGTTTTCAAGGGTCAGGGATTTAGGAAGTCATCTGCCATGGGGAACATTTTCAGGGAGGGATGCATTTTCTCAGCTGAATCCTGTCGAGAATTTAACAGGCATTAAGAGACCTCAAGGCAAGATTTCCACGGCTTCTCCTGCAGAGAAAGAAATCAGAAAGAAATCAGAGTAAGAAATCAGAGAACATCTGGGCTTTTACTGTTGGTCTGTCCTTCTGCACCGCAGAGAGACTTCTGAACCCTATTCCACATATTTCTTTTTATTATTGATATATAAAGACAAGAAAAGTTCTTAATTTAAAAGACCAAATAGTCTGTAGGAAACAGACTTTGTTTGCTGAGAGAAAGCTCTTTTGCAAATCACTTAAGAGGAAAATGGAGAAGACTATGTTGCCTCTTTATAGCTGAAAGAAAGGAGTTCCTAGCAAACTCTCCCAACAAAAAAATAAAAATTACCCTTGGAGGTGAGAGAACAAACAAATGAAATAAAGGAACTTCTCCAACCAGTGTCCAAGACTGATTAGCCAGTTTAAGCTGAGTTAATTCACCACTTTGAAGGTGAAGAGATTTATTCGATACGTACAGGAACGCATTGCAGAACGTGCATTTGTTGGGGTAGGTGATACCATCAGACCCACAGTGGGGGACATACTCCATGGAACACATATTCCTGAAAGTCCTCTGGTTCTTGCAGTAGGTGGATGCAGCCTGTATCCACGAAAAAAAAAAAAAAAAAAGAGCTCTCAACCAAAGCTGAGTGAGAAAGGTGACATTAGGAGGCCCCACACACCCCCTGAGCTGCCAGGAGCAGATGCTGAGGAAAAGCCCAGGGACAGGGCAGGATTGCAGTGGAGTGCTGCCTCCAGGCGTGCAGAGCCTGGGCAACCACTGCAAATGATGCTGCAGTAACTCTGACAACAACCTGGACATGAACTGAATACTGCCCTACTTGTTGAAACTACCACCAGATGAAAATGGCAATTTCACCCAATAATATCTGTGGCAAATATTGCTCAGGCAGCTGGGTGTCTCAGGATTTTGAAAGGCTCCATCATGATGTGATTAGTAAAGATTTATACAGAAACTGCTTTAAGGAAAGAAAGGATGGAGAATAGAAATATCTGTCCCTTACCTGCAGCGCATCAGTAGCTGGAACTAAAAAAAAAAAAAAAGAACAAATGAAATATGTTACAAATGCAATTCATGGATTCTGTTAAGATCTAAGAATGCATGCTCTGAATACATATCTTCCAACTACCTGTGTGCTAGCAAATTGTTCTTAGACAAAAGGAATTTCAGGCAAAATGTTGTGCCATGTATGTTGATTCTGTAGTATTTTTTTAATGAGGGTTACTGTCAAAATGGAAAAAGCTGTGTAAAATAAAAGAAGAGAAAGGCATTTTCTATGGTTCGAAGGACAGAACAGGATATGAACTCAAAGAGAAGCAAGTTATTGAGGTAAACAGGGACATAAAGCTGGCAAGTACACAGAGGCAGAATCTTATATGCATTGCCAATATTATTTTAAAATAAGAATAGTATTTAGTGAGAGGTGAATTTATAAAGCTTCTACAGCAGCTCAGGCTCTCAAACTACACCTCGGTTCAGGATGACTACAAGAAATGTTCACTTCCATTCAGTAAAATTATTTGTGTTTCTGCAACATTTCAGAGGTTAAATACTGGTTGTCTGAGTCTCCGGGTTGCACCACGTACATGTCACTTCTTTCATTATGCATAAACTAGCACTGAGAGTAGAGCTGTTCCCACAGTTGTTCTTACCCACTCAGTTCTGTTGCTAAAATATTACCCCATAAGTGATAGTCTCTGATGTCAAGTCTTTTCAACACTATCTTTCTAGGAGTAAATAAGTCCTTGCAGAATGGAGCTCTTTCCAGTCTGAGGGTGTTTTTTTGTGGTTTTGAAGACAGCCAGTGCTTACTTCAAGGCAGAGAGCAGGAGGCAGTGGAGCCACTCACCTGAGATGCAGAAAAGGGCCAGAGAGAGCAGGAGCAGCACCCCTGTGATCTTCATGGTGGCTGGATGAGCTGTGAGCAGCAGAGCTTGGCTTTTGCTCAGGAAACACAACCTGGATTCTGTCCTCAGGTGGCAACCACGCTTATATGTGTGCCTGCACCACTGGGGGGGCGTGTGTGTTTGTGCATGTTCATATTTGCCTTATCCACCCTTATCCTGGAGCAACATTTCCAGCCCTTTGTCTCAGTGGTAATATCAGTAGAGGTAAGCTGTGCTGTAAGCCAAGAATGGTGTTTCTTCATCAACGGGAGTCACGAGAAGTTTAGATGTGTGAGATACACCCTCTGAGTCCTTATTTTAAGAGAAATATGTGACAGTTTCCTTCTGAAGGACCACAGAAAATTCCTGCAGGCAAAAGAGCCACTGTACAAACTGCTGTCAGATTTTCTCTGTGTTCACCTATCACTGCTTATTTTTGTGCCGTGCTTTTTCATGAGAAAAACATTGAATGAAATGCTTCCGTAGCAGAAAGGCTCTCCTTTATTTTTGTGCTTCACCCAAGTAAAACATCACTAAGTTATAGTGAAAGCAGGAAAACAATGAACCAGGAAAGCAAGCAAGAGGGCATCCCAGACACTGAAAGGAGTCCTGGGAAATGACAAGGGATGGAGAAACTTTTATGGGACTATGCAAAAAAAAATTTACAATTGTTATTTTCCCTAAAAGCCATTAGCTTTGCAGTAATAGACTTTTAGTATGATGATGACAGAATGATTTGAGGCCCTAGCATGGATCCTAGAAAAGCTGAACCCAATCTGGAAATCACTGCTTCATCCATCTGCCCATCTCTACATAAATCCTTTGTTTTACCACCAAAGCATTGCTTTTTGGGACAACCTCCATCAAGGAGAACGAGCACCCCTCTCCCTTTGATTCCCAGAAGAAATGCCTGTGGGAGATATTACATTTTAGAAGGGATAAGCCCAATTTATTTATGCCTCTCTTGTGTGGATCCAAAAAAAAAACCCCAAAAACCAAAACCCAATTCAATACTCAAACAGAAGACAAAAGCAAAATAAATTTCATGCACAATACACCAATGACAGGTCACACACTCAAGAAACAGAAGGATACTTTGTCCTTGGATTTTGAAACCCTGCTGAAATACTCCTTGGGCTGGCAAGGAGCATTGTGTAATTGAAGAGTGAGAGAAGACAAGTAGGCAGGAGTAGGCACCACACCTAGGAAGGCATTAATCTCAAAACACTTGGAAGGTGTTAAAGGACGACTCCGAGATGAGGAAAAATCTGGTAATAAGTCAATTGGAGGACTCAGGCAAATAGACAGAGACAATGCACGTGTCTGAACAACATGGGCTTTGCCAAGAGAGTGACCTTGGGAGAGCAGCACTTCAGGTGAGGACAGAGCCAGGGATCAGCTCTGGGCAGGGACACCAAGGTGTGACTGGGCTTTGCTGGCCAGGAAAATGCACCAGGACCCTCCTGTGTCACCACTTCAGCCCTGGCCAATGTCAAACATTAAAGGGTTAATTAATCTGAGCACTAATGCAGGGACATCATTGTCATTTATGTGCAAGGACACACAGCTCTGGGGTTGGAGCATCTGTATTTAATTTTCTGCCTTTTAGGAGAGGGAGGGGAGCAAGATTATGCTCTTGTTCTATCCCAGAGCTTTGAGCATGTAACTGTTCTGCCCAGTATCATCATCCAACAAATCAAGACCACGTTTCATGAGACAACACATGAAAGGAGACAGGGAAATGTTGCTGATTTAGTTTATTGAGAAAGAAAATCAGGAGTGAACTGGGTTCCCCAGAGGGTGAGATGAACTGAGGTGAGATCTTTATCTGGGTTTTTCCAGTGGGGATCTTGGGGTGAATTCCCTTGGCACTGATACTCAGCATTTTCCAAAATGGCTTAAAGTGATAGTCCCATTGCTGTCCCTGAAAGCAAGGAAAGGAAAGAATGAATTAAACAGAGTCCTGCCTGCTATGATCTGTCTTTTTGACGGCTCCTAGAGATGGTGTCAAATGGGATCCTGCCCCAGAGCCAAGGAACTTGCAGACTCATAATCCCATTTGCTATTTGATTATTAAGACATGAGTGAAACAATTTAACTCATTCTTAAGACTGAAAATATCTGTGGGGAAACTGTAGTGGAATTTCAAAAGGAAAGGAATTTCATTTCCTTTGCAACATGCAAGAAAAATTCCATTTAGGTTAAATGCTCTTCAAGCCATTCACACTAACAAAGCAGCCGTAGCTTTTTTCATGCTCTAATGAAAAAAATAAATGAATGCTTGACATGGTGGCTGGCATTCCCTCCTGCCCCAAATCCCTAATCAACAGTATCCAGCAAACAAAAAAGCAGTAACTGTGCAAACTCTTGCCCACAGGAGGCAACTGATAACAGAAACATCACTGATATTTTACATACACGACTGCGTTGCAGAAGATACACTTATTGTTGTATGTTGTGTTGTCAGAGCCACAGAGAGGCATGTAGTCAAGTGAGCAGACAGGTTTGGGGTAGTCACTGCAGTCAACCTGTAAAAAATAAATAAAAATAAAAGAGTCTGACGTGGAGGAGTCAGTAGCACAAGGGTTTGAACCCTGAGCTAGAGCTGCAGTGCTAGTGATACCAATCTTACCAAAAGTAATTAACTTCCCTGCACATCTGATATAAACTGAGGTGTCAGTTTCTCCCATGCCAGGAGAATTTAATAATATAAAAATAGATCATAATTTCCTGTTTGAAGAGATGTATATCATAACCTGGCCATGGCATTTCCAAGCAGCAGCAGTTCACTGGGTGAAGGTGCCGTGCTCTGTGTTCCCAAGCTGGCCAGGAAATTAAATGGAAAAACACTGGAGTCTGGAGAAATGGAGTGCTGATCCTCTGTAAAGGTCCACTATCCCTCCAGGAGTCTTAAAACTGGAAGATCAGCACGTAGCTGGGTACTGCAAGAATGGGGTTCTGTTTCCTGGAGCAATGGGTGCTGCACTTGTCAGGAGCATTGTAGGGCTAAAAATGTGTCTGGGTCAGGAAGAGGCTGAGGAATTTCATGGAGGACAAATCTCTCAAGGCTTAGTGACTGCACAGAAATCACAGCTAGCTGAGGCCCTCCACCTGAAAACAGCTGGAGCTTGGAAGTGTAGAAGTCACTCTTCTCTACATTCTGCACTCTCACTCTGTCCTACACAATGCTCACAGCCCCTGCCAGCAGCAGGCTCTGCACTAAGTTGCCAGGGGCTAGATGGACCATTGGGCTGACCCCAAAATCCATTCTCTGTTCTTATTCACAGTTCTGCCCTGATGGATTCGTTCTACTACTCTTTACTCATCCCTTCCTGAGCAGTCACCTGCTCCTTTCCTGGCATTCACACAAATAACATTACGTGTAGAGAAAGCAAAATCTCTCCCCTTCTGCAGCACAGCAGCTGTTTCACTTCTGCAGGACACTGCTGGTCTGGGGGCTGCTGCAGACACTGGCAGTGCTTCCCCTAACAGCAGCAGGACCAAAACCCAGCCCCTGATCACCCAATTCACTTACTGTGACAATTTCCTTCTTACATTCACCATCAGCCTTCTTGCCAACACTGGCTCCAGCCTCCCTGGGAAGGGAAGAGACCTGTGTTAGGGAGCTTTACAAGCAACCTGTTCTGCTGAATCCATCACCCAGGAATGCTGAGCAGCCTCAGGCACAAAGTATAGGATACAGGAGGCACCCAGCTTAGGTCCATGTGGCTCCAGGGACCAGCTCAGGTGGTGTCACTGCCTGCCAGAGAGCTGGTTTATAGCAGGATGTGAGGGGTCAGGATGGATGCGGAGACAGGCTGTGTGACAATGTCAATGCCCCCTGGGTGAGTTGTTGTCCTCTGCAAGGCAGCATCTGCCACACAGACCCTTTTAACTGAGTTAAGAGAAGCATTCTGTCCTGTGTGAGATCCCCAGCCAGCCCTCCACTTCTCTGTCTAGACCCAAGGCACAGCTTTCCTTCTAATGACAGAGGAAAGCAAGGTTCAGTCAAGAGGACAAGAGGAGGGTCAAAGTCCAAGCACCTCACAGAAAAGGCCTTGGCAGAAGTCCTGCTATCCAAAAGAGCAGTCCCAGGAGCACCAGCCCCAGGTCCCCGTGCTCAGCACTCACAGGCTCCTGGAGCAGAGCAGGCACTCGTTGTTGTAGGTGACCCAGTCGGTCCCGCAGACGGGGTTGAGGTCTTTGTGGCACAGCAGCACCACTTTGCCATCCTCAGTGGTTGAGTTGGGGTACTTGCTGCAATCCACCTGGTGAGGGAACAAACAAAGCCCTGGTGAAGGCCTTGCTTACAGCACACCAGTGGATCTGGTGAGTGTGTCTGCCTGGCCATGCACCACAGCAGCAGAAAAGCTTTTCTGTCAGTCACCATGATGACAGTTCACTTGGAGGTGACCAGTGCCAGACTCTGGCAGCTCATCTGTGTTCTTGTTTAGGGTTTGAATTATTTCAATAAGCACCTTTGGCCCCTCAGAAGCAGGACACACCCCTTGTTTTGCCCTTGGTTTAACTTACAGGGGCAACTTCCTTGCACTCTCCGTCGTGGTCTTTGCTGACATTGGTTCCATATTCTCTGCAGAGGGAAAGGCAAATGTTAGGAAGTTCAGCAGAGATGTCTTGCTACATCCTAGGTGTAGAATTAATGCAAGGGAAAATTGACTCTTTCTCAGTCAGGCTTCTTTTATATCTGTATTTGAAAAGGTAGAGCCACCCTCCCTCATCAGCTGAGTAGCTGGCAGGGATGTAAAACCCTGGGAAGCTTTAGGACCATTTTGGGCAGCTCTGAGCAGAGCATCTCAATCCTTTTGCTGTGATGAGATGTGCTCTCAGAGCCATCACCTGGCCACTCCTTGAGACAGAGAAGAAAAAACCTGAATAAATTACAGAAACAAAAGACAGACGCAGTGACTAAAGCTCTGCCTGAGCGCTGTGCCGTGATAGCCAAGCTCATTTCGAAGGAATTGACACAGCTGACGTGTGACAGAGCAGCGACTGGTGAGCTGTGGTGCTGCCAGGAGCTCTGAGCTGTGCTGCCTGGGGTCCCCACGCTGTCCCCACGCTGTCCCCACGCAGAACGTACGCGTTGTAGGCACAGAGCAGGCACTCGTTGCCGTAGGTGACGCCGTCGGAGCCGCAGATGGGGCTGACGGCCTCGCTGCAGACCAGCACCTCCTTGCCCTCCTCGTTCGTGGTGTTGGGATATGTGCTGCAGTCCACCTGCCAGAGGAATCACAGCAACAGGCTGAGAGGACCTGAGGCGTTCACAACTCTCATTTTGTGTGGTACAACCAGTCCTCACCGCCGCAGCACAAACTTCTGCTGTGGGGCCTTCAGGAGAATTCTTCCTGCAGAGATGTCCCCACAGGGCAGGAGAAGAGGAGGAGGAGGGAAGAGCTATAACCATGCAGCCCCTTGGATGGGATAAACCAGTGCTGGTCTCTCGTGCTTACTTGACATGATTTTATAAAGGCTCTCCATTGGTCCCTAGTTCTTAAATTCTTGTGGTCCCTCCACTGCACTTCTGGTTTTACTTTTTCATTCTCAATACACTGATCATGTTTTTTTTCAGAGGACCAAGACAAATGACCTGTGAGGAAGCTGGATCTGCTCAGAGTATTTTAGTCTTTCAGTAGGTCGCCCTCAGGTAGGTTCTGATACCAGTCTACTGCTTCAGTTTAGAACCAGTTATATATTTCCAGCTTAAAGCTTAGACCAGTCTAAAGTTGCTGAAAAATTAATTAATCCAAAAACATTGTATCATTACCACTAAAACATTATTAACATACAGCATGGATGTACAGCCAAGGGCAGTATAATTTAATGTTCTAGGCTGCAGAATCTGATTACAGTGACCCGAGTGTGACACTTAGGTGAAAACCAGCTGAGCACCCACAGGCTGGAGGTTTTTCCCACTCCTTTGGTTATGTCTTTATCAGACCACATACTTGAGAAAGGTGACAGAAAGAAATCTTCCACTTACCTCAATCCCAAAGGCAGTATCTGGAAAAGAAAAGAGAGGCAGAAAGTATGAACAAAAGCCAATATGATAAGACCTCAATTAAAGCTGGAAATATGGATATAAAATTCCTGTGTACAGGACCAAGGTGAATGATTTCCAGTGATTGTTTTTTGAACTAAATAAACTATGTATGATTTTTTTTCTCTATGTTGATAAGCATAATAGCATTGCTTATTGCTGGCTATGATGAAACAGCTTTTTGAATAGCTTTGTTCTTTTTTTGTTCTGAGACATGTAGATTTATTAATTGAAAACAGAAGAGCTTTTCCTTCCTTATCTTTTTACATATCCGTTTTGACCCTAAAGCACTGCTGTTGTGTATCTGAAAATACACCTGAATCAACAGAGACAAATGCAAATAGTCACCTACAGGATAAGCAAATACATACAGCATCTGTTGATAGAAATATGCATTTGAAAGAAGGCGAGTGTGAAAAAAATGTCTTTGGCTTTGTAATTTCATCAGTGGTGAATATGCAGTGAAAACATCAGAGTCTGGCTAGTATTCATCTCTTGCTGCTCCATTAGCAGAAAGAGCATTGCAGGAAATTTGCCAGGGTCTTGCAGAGAACTTGCTTGTGCCATTACAATATTTGCCTTACTAGTTACTGGGGGTCTGACCCCCTTCTCATGGCCTTATTTCAAGTATTCATCCATTTTGCTGTAATTGTACAAGTCTAAGCAGTGTAATGGTGTGAGAAGATCAGTGTACAAAGTGTAACAGCACGAGTTGCCAGCACAGAACTCCACTTGCTGTTACTTATATTTATGACAAACCATCAGCTACAGCAGCGAGCCACTGAGGACTGTCCTGAAATACACTCCTGCAACCTGCACGACGCCAACCGAGGCAGCAGAGCCCTCTGAAGGAGATTTCCTCTCTTTGAATCCTCTGCCTTATCCTTTTGAAGACAGCCAGGACTCAGCCACCTGGAGAGTCACTCACCTGGGACGCAGCACAGCGCGAAGGAGAGGAGCACCAAGAGCCCTGCCGTGGTCATGGTGGAGGTGTCTGGAGTCTGCAGGCTGCCTGCTGCCACTCTGCCCACGAGATGGTCCCTCCAGGGCTGCCTGCAAATATATACAAATGCAATGTCTAAACTGTTCAACTGTAACATAAAACAACCTGCAGAATCTGTCACCAGCACAATGAGGCCGGTAATATTTATGGAGGTCTTGACTTCACTGCGTCTGCTAGGCAATTGATTTTGGCTGGACACCTGGTTAATAGATCAAGACAAGTATCACAAGCTCTGAGTGGTCAAAAGAAAACAAACAGCCTTTTGGACAAAAAAAACCTCTTTGGGATTCTAGTGGAAATGTGAGGAGCACAAGATACTGAGGGGAGTAAAGACCAGGCCACACTGATTTGTCTCTTGCAGAGCAACATTTGCCATCAGGGAAGCAGCTTAGGCAGGATGCAGTACCACCCTGCCTGCAGACCAGGCTGAGTCTCTGCTTTCCTTTCTGCTTTTGGGTGGGTTTTTTCCCCCAGATTCCCAGATAATCACTTCTAGGTACAAACACAGGTCAGGTGTGGCTTTGCCATCAGCAGCACCAGTTAAGCTTCGTCAGGCAAGTCTGGCAGGACCGTGTCCAACCTGTGAATCCAAAGGCATTTAGCACCAGTTTGAGTAAAGCTAAAGGCTTCATGACAGTTTCACTGCCTGGGTATAGAAGAGCTCAGTGGAAGACTTGAAAGTAAGTTAAAAATCTGTCAAATGCCACTAAAAATGTCACTTGAACCTTAGCAACAGGGAGCACTTATTTACAGACCCAGTCCCAGTTAGACACACGGATTCAGAGTGTTCTGCCAAGCCATCTGAAGAACAAAAGGCACTGAAGGTTTGGGAACCTATTTACATTGCACCAGCAACACCTGAAAGTATAGTACGTCCTTCCCTCTTGCAGATATTTTAGAAAATGATACTTAAAATATAGAATCTGTCCCCATTTCCCTGTCTGTCTCAAACCACCAGCCTTTGTGTCATCTCCAAATTGCTCCTGCCTCAGAGCAGGTCTGCACCTCTGCTGTTTTAGTAGCTGTAATTTTGCAGGAGTGGGTTCTGCCTGTAACCTGTTCCTCATCCCTTTCACAGGTTCAGAATGGCAAGGGTACTTGGGGTTTTTTGGGGGGGTCGTTGGAGCTAAGCATTGTGCTTGGGGTAGACTTCAGGACTATGGGAGGTGCAGAGCAAAAGGTGCTTTACAGGTGCTGCCTTTAACGAGCCAGGTACCACCCATAAGACAAATGAAATTCACCTGAAATCATTGAAAGTCACCCCAAGCAAATGTGGTGTTGTCTGATCCACCACAGTAGCCTAAATGATATATTTTGATATATATATATCCATATATATATATATACACACAGAGATATATATATACACATATGTGGATATATATATATATATATATCCATATATATGGATATATTGGATAGTGCATGGAATCACCTCTCCTGGCACACCCAGAAGGCCACAGCATGGCTGTGTGGATATGCAGGTCACATTTTCACATCCAAGAGATGAGATTCTTCACAGGGAGAAGCATCGAAATAATTATGCTGCTGTGATTGTTTCTATAAATTACAGGGAGCATGCATGAATATTTCAGACAGATTTGGCACATCTTCAGGATATATTGCCCTGATGTGCCTTGTGAACAGCATCTCTGGAAGCCAAACACTTTTCCCTGAGCATGTGCAGGAGTTACTGAAGCTGCTCCCTACGTGTCACAGTTGCTGCTTTTACCTGTGCAGGCTCTGCAGAGTTGGAGGGGGCTACATCATTCTGGGTTAAATATGGACTTTGCCACTGCCTCCTCCAGCCAAGACCTCTCCAAACCATCCTCACCAGCCTTCACAGCCTCAGCCCTGGACATTGCTGTCCTTTGGGCAAGATCAACCTCTCCTGATGAGTGGAGAGCATTTTCCTGCCAAAGTGTGGCACATGTTACACCACAGAAAAAATTTCCACTTCAGCTCCTGGGTCCAGCACCAGGTCTGGCACTGGCCCAGGCAACTCAGATTTTCTCTGACCACCACAATGCCTGTTGGATGTCCAGCAGATCCTTTCTTTCTCTCTCTCTCCTACTTCAGGGAGACTCAACAATTAAATGGTGACTGGGGAACACCTGAGCCCCTCAGGTACCCCCTAGGCAAGCCACAAAAGTGACACCCAGAAATCCCCAGCTTTCAGGCACTTGCACAGCCTGCAGGCATTCAGCATCCACAGCCTCCCCACCCAGGGCTACAGCTCCAGATTATCCTGCCTCTGATAACAGCGTGGAAAAATCCCACAGCTGGCTAAGCTCATGCTGCAGGACAGGTCACTCAGGCCTTAGCTACTCCTGGAAGAACAGTCAGAAGGAGGATTTGGTCTGCAATCCTGCCAATGATCTGCTGTAATCCACTTCATTATGGTCTTCTAATCCTCAAAGTCAGATGCAGCATATGGCTAATGACCATTTGGCTAAAGGAAAATCCTCTGTGTGCAGCAGCCAGCACGAGGGCAGAGGTCCTGCAAGAGGGCTGGAGATGGACTTTGGACAAGAGCATGAAGTGAAGGGACAAGGGGGAATGGAAAGGCTTTAAGCAGAAAGTGGGTAGGTTTAGATTAAGTATTAAGGAGAAATTCCTTCGTGGCAGGCCCTGGCACAGGGTGCCCAGGGAAGCTGTGGCTGCCCCATCCTTGGAAGTGTCCAAGGACAGGTTGGGCAGGGATTGGAGCAGCCTGGGACAGTGGAAGATGTCCCTGCCTATGGCAGAGGGGTTGGACCAAAATTATCTTTAAGGTCTCTTCCAACCCAAAAAATTCTATGATTCTGTAATCTGCAGGTAAGCAAAGGCAGTGCCACACCTCAGGGTGCTGCCTGTTATGGTCCTGAGCACCACAAGCTCTGTGTGCTGACACCAGGGCAGGATTTGGCCATTATACAACATCCTCTCTGACTTACTCATGTAATTTCTTGTTTTACATTTCCCATTACATTTTTTTTCTGTATTGATTTCATATTCTCTGAAAGAATCAAAATTGAGGTTGAAGAATTTTCTTAGCAGATATGCAGCTCCTCAGCATAAATAACACATTGATAAATAAATGGCAAATCATTTAATACATCATTTAATTTCTAAACACTCCTGGGGTTTGTCACATTATTTAATTAACAAATAACTGCTGTAAAAGTGGGAAATACCGATTAGTTGCAGCTCTTTCATGAAAATGCCTCTAATCACTCCAAAATGCCTGCTAAACACAATTCAGGCTACAGTTTTCATCTCTGGCTTTCTTTTGGCCACAGTGTGGCCAATAACTGTTTGCACTGAGCCACATGCCTGGAGAAACCAGCACTGCACAAATGGAAGCTCTGCCTCTCACCCAGTGCTTGGAGGCCTCATTTGAACTGAGCAATAAAGCAAACAAAGTCATTGATATGATTAAAAACATCTCGCTATCAAAACATATCCATGTGTTTATGAACTTATTAAATAGAACTTGATCCAGGTAATGCCAGTGGATGTTTTCCTGCACTAATAAGACCGTGAGCAGAACTTTGTACCCTGCAGGTGAAGGCTGACACGGTTTCACGTTACTTATGCAATGAACTGAATGAATTTGGCCCCACTACAAGGGCAGATGTTGACACATGGGAATGAGTCCAGCAGAGGCTGCCCAGGGACAGGGGCACAGGGCATTCCAGGAAAACTGAAGGAGCTGGGCTTATTAATCCTGGAGAATAGATGGCTACTGGGATCACATTGCTGTCTGCAACTCCCTGATGGGATTAGAGATAAGGCAGAGCCAGAGTCTTCTCTAAACTGTATGGCAAAGGGATTAGATTCTGAATGAATGTGAGGAATTATTCCTTGTCATGAGGATGATCAAGCACAGAAAGCAGAGAGGCCATGCCTGTCCTTCCTCAGCACTACTGAGAACCCAACTGAAAAAGAAAGGCCTGGGGCACCCTGACCTGCCTTTGACTTTGGCCTTGCTTTGATCAGGGTTTGAGCCAGAGACCTCTGGAGAGCTCTTACAACTTGAATTATTCTATTTATGTTGTACTTATATAATTCTCCTATAAATAGCTGTTATTAATAAAAAAAGGTAATATTTCTCCATGACCCAGGAGAGTCTTCTGAGAATTTTCCAGCAGCCTTTACTAAAGGGTCACAGGTAAGTTCTACAAAGAGCTCCCAGAATGTTTTTACAGGGGGTGACCACTAACATGTACTACAGAAAGAGTGGATTGAAATAATTGTTAAAATAAAGCCACACGCTAAGCCATCCAAATTTCAAGACATTATTAGCTCTCAGTGATTTCAAAGTCTCCTCACTTCTGCAGGAGCCCAGCACTTTACCACCACAACCTTTCTCCAGAAGAGCATCAACATTTGAATCTCAAGAAAAGTTATCTGCACCACAGAAAACCAGGTGCCAAAATATCATCCACCTCCCTGCTGAGCTGCAGCCTGGACCAGACGAGGGTCTCAGCAGCAGCTCTGGGGACACATCTCCATCCCTCACCTCCCCAGCTCATGCTGTGCTCCAGCTCTGAGAAGTTTCTGGATAACAGGGATGTCAGGTCAGGGCTCCATTGCAGAAGGCAGGAGTAACTCATGAGGAAGCAGGATAATGCTACAATGAACATCAGAAAAAGAAGGCAGCAACCTACACAATTTGGCTGGACACTGACCCAGGTTATTTCTCTTTGAAGTGAACGTACTGCAGGGAAGGTGGGCTGGAGCAAACACAGAGGTATTAACCTGCAGCTGATCAGAGGAACAGGAAATCATTGGTTTAATCAGTTTCCCTGACACTTCAGTGATCTCAGCTCCGCATCGCTGAGCACTCGTCTCATCTTTGCCACAGCCCAAGCAGGAACAATGAGGAGGTGGCTGCAGGGAAGTGGCAGCTGACCTGGGATTGACACCATTCATGGCTGCCTGGCAGGACAGAGTCAATCAGGCAACTTCACTGCTAGGGCTGGCAAAGTCTCCTTC